AAAAAAAAAAAAAAAAAAAAAAAAGTCTATGATTTATCAAAAAATGTTTTGCTCATCTAGCCAGGCTAGGCTTGAAGATTTCATCCTCCAGTCAGTTTCCCAAATAGCTGGCCTTAAAGGCATGCAGCACCACGCCTCAGTGATGTTTACTTTATTGAAGCACTGAAATCTTGGTACATTATGGGGCTTTATCTAATTTACCAGATTTCATTTGCTTATTCATTTATTTTAATTATGTATTTAGTACAGGGTCTCACTATGCGGCTTGGACTTGTCATGATCTTGTTTTCAGCCTCCCTAGCGCTGGGATTGCAGGTGTGCGCCACCAAGCCTGGACTCGGTGCAAAGCTCAGTGGGCCCAGGGGTGGGGCTGGCACAGCATATAGTGCCAGGGTCCAACCCCAGTCCCTGTGCTTGCCTAAGCAAGTTTTGGGTTTTTTTTTTTTTTTGTTCGTTTGTTTGTTTTTGTATTTTAGGGAAGGATCCACAGGGTGTTCAGGGTCTCACTACTAGATTGGTCTTGTAGTGATCCACCTGTTTACAGCCTCCCAAGAGCTGGGATTATAGATAAGGCATGCACCACCACGGCCAGTCTCAATCACTGTCTCAGTACGCCATGGAGGCGGGGGTGGCATGGTGGGGGGGGGGATCGAACACACCCCCACCCCACCCCTGCACCTGTTTTCAGGTGCTTTAGCTGAGCTATTTGAGTGGCCCATAAGCAGGTGTTTAATCTGCTGAGCTATCTCACCAGTCCATCAGGTTTTAAATTACCAGGGTGGTACCCGTTTGTGTTCCCAACAATCAAGGATTAGAGACTATCACAATTTCTTCCAAGCTCGGAAACTTAGTGAGATCTATTCTAAAAAAAAAAAAAAAAAAAAAAGAAAGAAAAGAAAGAGGGCTGGCCAAATAGCTCAGTGGATTAAAGCGCCTACATGCAGGCACAGGGGCTGGGGGTTCAATCCCCGCGTCTGACATGCCAGCCCCACACCCAGGGGGCGCTGAGACAAGATTGAGATAGGGCATGGTGGCACATGCCTGTAATCCCAGCTCTTGAGAGGCTGTAAACAGGTGGATCACTAGAGTCCAATCTAGTAGTAAGACCCTGAACACCATATAGACCCTTCCTTAAAACGTGTATTTAAAAAAAAAAGAAAGAAAGAAAGAAAAAGAAAACACTTAGCAGGACTTAGCATGGGCAAAATTCCTGAGTTCTATCCAAGAACAATGAAAAAGACTACAAAGTTTGAAATCTTCTGTATCCCAGAGAAACCCCTTCCCAGGCCACACTATGATGATGTCTACCCTATTTTGCAATCTAGAACACCAGTTTTGTAATTTCTCAATCTTTCTCAAAAATGATTGGATGGGAGCCAGGGAGATGGCTCAGTAGAATAAGTGCTTCCCTGGCAAGTGCACGGGCCTGAGTTCAATCCCTGGTTCCACAAAAAAAAAAAAAAAAAAAAAAACCAAAACCACTGGATGAGCCCATCAGTTCCCACAGAAGGTACATCTGTCTATTACCTAGTTCTGCTTTCTTTAGACCCAATCCCAGAAGAAACCAGCCGATAATGATTCATTTATTAGCACACTAGGAAGTCTGACCTCCTGAAATGTTTACTGCTGTAGTTGCTAATGTTTAGCATCCACATCCACATATCTGGTGTGTTCCAGATGGAAGTGGTCAGAAGCAGCTCTGGCAATGCCCAGCCTCCCTCTTAGCTCCAGACACTGAAGTCTTCCAAGCCTTAGGTGCTGTAACAGCATTAGAACTCTTTTTCCCATTTGCTTAGGCAGAGGCAGTGCTGTTCTGAGCACAAACTCCTGACTCTTCTAACTTATTTCTCTTTTACAACTCTTCCTTTTTATCTGTTCAGAAAATACTTTTATTCTATTTATTCATAAGCCAGCAGACCATAGGCATTTACCCCTACTTTAATACTTGCTGTATATAAACACATCATTCAATGTTTCAATTTTTCAAACAGGGCTGGCTGATAGCTCAGTGGACCGAAAAGCTCCTGAGGGTTGAACTGGGATGTCTACAGAGATGTGATGTTCTGATACTGGCATAGTCAGAAAGGAAAAGGAGCTTTATCTTTGAAATAATTGTTTTATAGTCTGTGAACAGTTTCTAGACATTGCTTAGAAGGCTGGCCCCTGTGCACTGAGACACTGATTGTGACTGGGCGTGGTGGCACACCCCTGTATGTTCAGTACTTGGGAGGCTGAAAACAGGAGGATCACTACATGTCTGATCTGTGTAGTGGGACCCTGTAGACCCTGTACTAAATACATTATATAATAATAAAATTAAAAAAAATTTTAAAACAATGTCTAGAATCTGTTCACCAACTGCAAAGCAATTATTTCAGAGTTAAGGCTCCTTTTCCTTTCTGACTATACCAATATCAGAAGAACACATCCCTGTAGATGTCCGAGTTCAATACATATCTATCTCAGTATAGGTGTAACAGACCCTTCAGGAAGTTAGTCTGAGCAGGGGCACTTTCCCCTCCCTTCATAATACATTAATATTCCCTCCATAATCTTCAGGATCCTAAATTCTATGGAAAAGCTCATTTCAATGGCCTATATGTAAAGAATAATTTCTTTAGTTACCTTATAAGTAAGGCAAATAACTAGGGAAGTGCCTGACATTAGAGTTTGGAAATTTCCCTTCGGCATAGTAATTAAAATGAGAGTAGGCAATCGCCTAGCAGTGATCAAGAATAAACTTTCTGGGGCCAGGGAGATGGCTCAGTAGAATAAGCGCCTGCCTGGCAAATGCAAGGGTCTGAGTTCAATCCCCGGTTCCACCAAAAGTAAAAAAAAAAGCATAAACTTTCTGCCCAACAAGGAAGGAAGCCACCTCCTTACGGAAAGGAGTGGTAGGCACTCCCTAATAAGTTTCTGAGTTTCCTGGAATGTTTAACAACAAATCCAGAAATTCTTTAAAATCCCAGTTTAGTTTTAACAGTGCAATCTCAGAAAATGTCTTAGCCTGAGTGCTTAGTGATTGTCTTAAATCCACAGAGCCATCCGAGATAGGCACCCACTAAACAAGCATTTACTGTGCTCTGTTTATCCATAATTTGCTCTGGATTCAGTGGCCACAGGCCACTCACTAGGTATACTTCTGTAATCAGGGAGCAATTATTCTTATTTCCAATAAAATCTCTCATAACATCCTTCTTCTAGTTTGTAACTTCACTCTCCAACGTAATAAGATCGTGCTCACTTATGGTGCAGTAACACAATTGGAGAGACCTCATGCACAAAATTAAAGCGATGAATTTTTAAATGCTGCGAAAGGAACCCAAGGCCTCTGCTCTCTCCACTGCTGCAGATTATCTTGTGCCATTGGCTGAACAGGAAGGTACTCTGGACTGGCAGTGTCCAGAGTCGGGACTGTGTGCTGGGAACAGCATTGTCCCTGCCCAAGCAAAGGGGAAAACCGTTCAGAAGACGATGTACCAAAGCCCTGGAAAAGCTCGGGGTCTGCAGCCCAGCGGGGAGGCTGTGCATTGCGGAGCTGGCTCTGACCACTTCCATCCGGAGCACACCAAATTCCAGCCCCCGCCCAGCTCCCGTTGCACAACGTTACCATTGCGTGGGGTGATGGTCTCCGAGGATCCTTCCAACGCCGCTGGCAGCCAGTAGACACTTCACAAAATGCTGTCTAGTCAGCGGGAGCTGTCAGCATCGCACTCAAACCGTACACCGCGACGCCATCACACAGGAAGTGCCCTCCTCCCTCTCCTGGCCGGATTGGGTAGTTCAGAGAGCCCGCGCCCACATCGCTGATTGGTTGCTGCTCCTCTGTCACTCAGCTCAACTGAGCCTGCAAGAGAAACAAACCTTTCCCTGCAGAGGTCGAGCTCAGAGGTTGGCTTGTAACCTAGAAACTTCTGCACCAGCCTCGCTCCTACCTGTCAATCTCACCTAGCTTGAGGATCTCAGGGTTACTCCTGGGTTTTCAAAGCTCCTGTGATTTTCTCACTGGATTCAGCGGACTGTTCCTGAAAATGGGTCACAAATGTTCTCAGAAGGTTCTAAGGTCATTGTTCCATGGAAGAGTCAATCCCCTGATGTCAGAAAGCATCTTACATCCCGGCCAGGCCAGAACAAGTCAGAACAGACCAAAGGTCTACTGTTGGAAATGAGGCAGTCAGGTTCCTAGCGAAGATTTTTTCCTACTGTCTCTAGATCTACTCACTTTCATTCATAAAAATGAGTAAAAAGGAGTAGAATTATTGTGTAAATGAAGAAATTTGAATTATAAGGCACCATATTCGCACAAGAGTGAACATGAAGCAAAAGCAAGCATGCCAACTCTCTCACAGAAGCTTCGTACTTTACTCAGGGTCTTACAGAGTATCTGAATTCTGAAGATAAACATATTTAAAGTGTCAAAGACAGAAAGACTGCTGAAACACATCCCATATTCCGTTATAGAGGAAAGACACTTCCGAGCTGAAAGATACCAGGGAAAAGTTCATGTTCTCTAAAATCAAACAACAAATTTTAAGAACCACAGAGATTAAGACCAGAATATATTTACTGAGGGAAGGAAAACTTCTGTCCAAGAGAGGGACAGAAGGGACTCCAGTGGGTTGCCAAGGAACCCACATTTTCTAGGGATTTTCACAGAGCCAAACCACGACACAAGGCAGGTCCAACGTGGGAAGCATGGAAACTCACAAGGTGGGCATGAGGCAGGAGAAATCATGGCCAAGTAACATGATTAGAAGCATAACTGCTCCAGTAAAGTTGATTAAATCGGGATCAAATAGGCAAGAAAGTCTCAGAGCAAGCGGGTTTGCATACCCAACAGGGGCTTTTCCTATACAGAGTTGGGTTAGTGGCTTCCTGGCTTTTTCAGGGTGATTGATACCTATTTAGAATATCAATTCCTGTTGTCTGTCCCTAGGGAGGTAGTAACTACATTTGTTTAACCTTTGGTCCTGAGTTCTGGCCCACAGCAGGAGTGCTCGTCCCTCCTACAGTTTCTGTTTTCTCTCTCTTTCTTTCTTTCTTTCTTTCTTTCTTTCTTTCTTTCTTTCTTTCTTTCTTTCTTTCTTTCTTTCTTCTCCTACAGTTTCAAGGTACCCTGTCTTCTGCATCGAGCCCTTTGAAGGCCTTGCCCTTCTGACTGCCTATAATATTTCCATCTAAAGCTGTTGCCTACAGTTGGATCCACCTGAGCACTTTCTTGCAGTGAGGCTGGGATACAAAAGGCTATAAGTTCACCAAGACATGTCCCAGCTCAACATGTTCAAATTCTCCACCTTTGAAAACTATTAGTCATAAAAAATTACCTGGGGTTCAGTGATACACTTGTGTTAATAACTTGTTTGGCTTGAGAGATGTACTGGTTATTAGTGTTGCACACCCCTTGGTGCATCTCATTGGGTCACAGCTGTGTGACCCAAGGGACCAACTCTGTACCCTGGTGCACTTTTCTCAGCTTCTTTTCTTTTTCTTTGGTTCCTGAGTCACTTAAAGTCAGGATCATGTTCCTTTATTTCTATTTACCTTGGTATTTCTACATAGAAGTCATCAAACCGAGAATATAGTCCTGATAATGATGAGACACGATAAACAATGTGGTATATTTTTATTTCTTCTGGGAAGATACCCAGAGAAGAAATAGGTGGGTAAAAATGAGATGTCTAATGCTAGTCTTTTGAGGACGTTCCCCTCTGATTTTGATAGAGGTTGCAATTAGAAATCAGTGTGAGAATTTCTTTAAAAATTAAAATTAGCGGAGCTGGGGAGATGGCTCAGTAAAATAAGCGCTTGCCTGGCAAGTGCAAGGGCATGAGTTTAATCCCTGGTTCCACCAAAAAAAAAAAAAAATTAAAATTAGAGACCCACTTGATTCAGCTGTTCCATTTCTGTGTATCTTCACAAAAGAATTAAAAACATGATACTGTTGCTGGCAGCCAAGTTAGATAGAAATATTGTAGGCAGTCAGGGCTAGGCCCTCAAGAGACAGCACGGAAGACAATATACACTGCAATTGTGAGAGAAATGGATGCTCCTGTTGTGGGCCAGACCTAGAGACCAAAGGTGGAACAAATGCTTACCTCCCTAAAGATAAGCATCTGGGATTGATCATCATCTCGAGGAAACCAGGAAGTCACTAATTCAACTGCTACTAGCTGGCTACTAGACAAATTATTATTCTCCATTGATGCCTACTTGCTACTTGACTCACTTCCTTATTTGATCCTGGATTTAATCACTTTTACCTGAGCAATGGTGCTTATAATCTCATTGGTCAATGATAGTTTTGTCCCACCTCATGCCCACCTAAGTAAGTTCCTGTGATCCCCACCTTAGACCTGCCTCACCATATGGTTTTGCTCTATAAAATTCCTTGGAAGAGACAGCTTCCTGGGGACAACCTACTTGCCCCCCACTTCTGTCCCTCTCAGACAGTAGCTTTCTTTCCCCCAATAAATAGTCTGCTCTTAACCTGTATTTGTTCCTAAAATTCATTCTTCGGTTTTAGAGAACACAAACTTGTCCCAGGTACCTTTCAGCTCGGGAGTCTCATTTCCCTTATATCAATACCACAACGCTACTGAGCCTGCCGTGTGGGCCCAGCTCCCGGGGCTCACTGAGACAGCGATTGAGACTGGGTGTGGCGGCACACGCCTGTAATCCCAGCTCTTGGGAGGCTGTAAACAGGAGAATCACTACAAGTCCGATCTAGTAGTGAGACCCTGAACACCCTGTAGACCCTGCCCTAAAATACAGAAGAAAAAAAAAATACCACAGTGCTATATGCACATCCATGCTATACCAGCGCAACTTGTAATAGCTAAATCTTTGAAACAACTCAAATGCCCATCAATCAAGGAATGGATTTTTTTTAATGTGCTTTGTTTATATGATGGACTACCATTCAGTCATAAAGGAAAACAAACTTTTATAGGTAAACAGATGCAAGTAAAGACTATACTCATAAGTGAAATAAACCAGACCCACATGTGTAAATATTGTATTATCTCACTAGTGGGAGAATCCAGAAGAGTAAACAAGATTCAAAAAGTGCAATAGATGTTGTAAGTAGGGAAGAAACAGATCAAAAGAAAAGAAAAACTGTGATGGGGCAAAGAGGAATGGAATGAAGGGTAAAGGGAAAAAAATGTATAAATCCCCAAGACAGTTAAGAGATAATTATACTGTTGGTTTCTCTTGGTACCCTGAGGAGAAAATTTTCTGCAATTAATTTTCTGAACACTAGGGCCAGCCAAATAGCTCAGAGGATTAAAGCGCCTTCAAGCAGGCGCAGGGGCCGGGGTTTAATTCCTAGGCCTGGAGTGCTGGCCCACCCCTGGGGCATGCAGAGATGGCAATTCAGACTGGAAATGGTGGTGCATGCCTGTAATCCCAGCTCTTGGGAGGCTGTAAACAGGAGAATCACTATGCGTCCTGTCTAGTAGTGAGTTGTAGATCCTTCGCTAAAATACTGAAAAATAATAATACTAATTTTCTGAATATGGTTTCATGTCTGTTTCTTCTATTCTGAACAACTACTGAGAATATAACAATTCACAATGTGTTGGTAATTGCTGCTCTACTAATAGTTTTGAAAATCCTTTATTGATATTTCTTACTTTGTTCTGTTTAAAATAAAAAAAAATCTATTAAGAAAACTCAACCAGTAATGTGAAATGCAGTATTGCCTCAGAGAGTGCTAAGTTCCTGAGTTTTGATGTGAAAATAATCAGAGAAAAGTAATAAATGTGCCTGTGAGAAGAATCAATATTGAGCATACAATATGTAGTCCTATAAATGGTGCTGTAAACCTCAGTAACCCAACACTGACCTTTCCTTCCTAGGGAAACACAGAGCTACCATCTGGTCATATTCCTGCCACATCTAGTCATCTCTGTGTCACAGTAGCTTACTTCCCAATGTCCCTATGAAACAGTTCCACTTGTGCATTCAAAAGGTCTCATTTGAAGAATTCAGGTTCAAGTCTTCTGGCTTAAAATATGCCTCTTCTCTCCGCACATGCAAGAGAAAAGCAAAGACATTTAGAAACCAGCAAAGTATTATGTTCCAAAACTGAGGTGGAATGTACTGAAGAGAATCTTACAGAACAAAAAGCCCTAGAGGATTTCAGTGCAGGGAAGGCAGTCAGGCATTCTAGAACCGATCGCTCTTCAGCTCCTGGTAACTGCTCCTGTAGCTCACGCTGTGCTCATCTCAGTGCTGCATGGCCTCAGCTGCTCTCCAGCTCCCTCCAGGGATGTGTGAGTCTGGGCTCACACTGAAGTCCCCTCAGCGTGACTCTTACACACAGTACACGGCTCTGTCCTTGGTTACTACGCAGCTCAGTGTGAACAAAACCAGGCTCTTAGGGGTGTCCTTGTTGAAGCGCACTCAGGATTCAAGAGCGCACTCACACCCCATGTCTCTATGGTTTAGTTTCACACTGATCCACTCCAGCCTGTTTCCTGTAGCCTGAGAGACGCAGCTGACCCCACTGCTGGATGAAGAGAATCCAGAGATGGTGCAGGTGAGGAACAGACTCCGCAAGGGCTTCACTAGGCCATGTCTTGACTCCTGTGGGACAAGACACCTGGGGTCAAGGAGCATCACCACCAGTCAAACACACCAGAAGTCCCATGTCTCGGTCACTGTCCTGAAACCCTGAGACACTCACAGCAGGGAGGTGTCCCCAGGTAAAGGAGTAGCCCCAGGAGGTCCTTGT